TCTTTTTACTTTTTTTTCCTGTTGGTGTTATTTTAGTACAGCAAATCATTTGCATTTTCTCCATCACTGACTCACACAAAAATTTGGGCTTTTCTACTGTGAATTCCAGTCATTTTCACCTGCATTCTGTACTGGTATTCTGGATACATCAATAGCATACATCAACACACACACCAGTAAACAGAATCAAAACTACTGAAAAGAAGGATTGCAGCAGACCCAGTGTAAAGTTCTTCTTTATAAATACCTGGTGATCTCATGCTCAGTCACTAGGAGCTCTTCCACTGATCTCAGCAGCTGTTGGATCAGGCTAAAGGTAAAAGGTGTTCTGTGGAGAGAAAAAAAAATGGTGTAACTTTAATATTTTATTTCCATTCTTTAATATTTTAATCATTTCAAGGCTTATTCCTTCAAAGTGATTTGTAAACAGCTCTGAAACAACATGCAGCAAAGATTTGCAAGAAAATTACTTGGGCCAAAGACCTACCCTAGCAGTTAGCTCTTCCATAGGCCCTTGTGCATCTAAGCACAGCACAAGAGGATCTAATGCTGTGCAACTTTTAAATTACTACTTCTTTTGTTTTCCCTCTATTCTTATGAGAAGGAAGAGGAAAAGTATTCTTTGAAATGAGAACAAGCCACTACAGAGAGACAGGAACAGAGCAGAAGGTCCTTGCAGTCCTTACATAAGGAAACCGTTTGTGTACAGTGCTTGTTACCATCTCTGCTGAAGGACGTATGCTTATTTATGTTTTGTTATTGCTCTGCACATATGCTAATAAAAACCACCAAAACTCAACTTGCAGGTTGCTGAACATTCGCAGCCATATGGCAGCCATAACCAGTGATACTATTTTTTTCTAGATGTAATGCTATGTATTTTGAAAACCAATAATGAACACATCAATAACATTAATGATATGACTACATTAAAACGTAAGAGTTAAAATATGGTGCCATCAAATATGCAGATGTTAAGTAGTTATTAAGTAGTTATGTTAAGTATGCTACCAGACAGAGGAACATTTTGCAACAGGAACAGAAGAAATCATGGCTTTGGGGATTTTCCTTTACAATTTTGAAATTCTATCAGTAGTACACAAGGATTAATGGAGATTTTAAAGAAATTACAGAGAATCACAACAGAAATAATGTGATAATGGCTGCGTAGCTTGAAACAAGTATGCTTTGGAACATTCAGAACAAACGTAATATTTCTTTTTGTGTAGCTGTTCTGACTGAAAAGTTAAAATGCAAGGAAATATCAGTCTTTTCAAATTCTAAGAAACTTTCAGAGGTAAAAGCTGATATGTTGAATATTTCTTAAGAGGAACCTCAGCATCACACTCAAAATCCTTTCCCTACCCACCTATCATCACCTCCATTAAGTGTATAACATCGGACTCATGCAACACATTTTTGATGAGGTCCTGCAACAGCTAGAAATTGCAGGCATACAAGAGACTAGAACTGAATTAAAACAGTCAGCACCTCACTGTTCCCAAAATACTACGATTTTTGGGGGGATCAGGAACAGGCTGCCCAGAGCAGTGGGCATGGCCCCAGGCTGCCAGTGTGCAAGAAGTGTTTGGACACCACTCTCAGACACAGCATTTGAATTTTGGGTAGTCGTGTATGAATCCAGGAGCTGGACCCAATGATCATTGTAGATCCCTTCCAACTTGGGATATTCTATGATTTTGTGATATATGCTCAGCAAAACAATCAAAAGTATTGGGGCAACATTATTGGCAATAGTTAAGCAGGTTATATTATCCCTAAACATTTCTAATATAAATGCAGACTAGCTGGGAAAACAATCACGACATTCACATGTCTGGGTGGGAACAAACCATCTGTAGGGACTGTGCAGTTGGCTAAGGAGTGAAGTTCACTGATTCTCACAATCCAATGAGAGCTCATTAAAACTTCCTCTGACACAGCTCACACACTCCTTTCCTCACCTACCACTCACTGTTCTTGTCTTTCTTGTCTCACACTACAGCTATTTAATTGGTTGATGCGATTGGATTAAAGATTTTGCTCATATTGACTACTGAAACATCCAACTGTTTGAGGCTAAGCTTAAGGTTAGAGATTCAAGACCAGATGAGGCCTGACAGGTCCTAAAGTTTTTGTTTTTGTTTTTAAATAACTCAAGGCCCGTTATATAAAACAACCACAATCTAGCTCAGCTAATGGCTGTTAATGGGCTTTCTGACTTTAGCCAGAATAACGTCTTAGCTACATGAGTGCTATAGTTCAATTATAAAAGACATAATTGCTTGTGGAAGGCAAGCTTGCTTTCAGCCTGCTACACTGACACTTAGAAGCCCTGCTCCTTGTGAGACTGAATCACCTTCCCTGGGCTCCACAGCAGTTATCGCATACATCCTTTGTACTCCTCCTCATTCACCTTCTTTCCAAGGTGAAAAGATTGTTGTCTCCCGGAAGCCTCTCCATACAGAACAAACAAAAGTGGCATTGAGGGTGGTCCTTCCCATCTCTGGTGCACCCTCTTGGAGGCCTGAGCCACAGGCGGCTTTAGAGCTGCAGGCACACAGCGGATCAGAAGCAGTTGAGATGCTGCCTGATTTGCTCTCTGCTGTACCTCTAAATATTGTCTTATAATGTGTTATACATTCATTGAACAGTCCACAAGGGACACCAAGAGACTTGTTTTATGTAGCCATCGCTATGATTTATATAGCTAGGTGTGGTCCAGAGCTCCTGTTTTCAGAGTAAGCCTTGAGACAGCAACAAGAACAAAGACAACTCAGGTGTTTTGATTTTGGCATGAGGTAAACTTACTGAGATAATTTCAGGTATGATAAAAGAGGTTTGGTTTCAAGTTTTACTGCAAATAAGTTTGTTTTTTTTTTTAAAAAAAAAAAGGATTGTTTTTACTACCCCCTTTTTACTATTTTTTTCCTCAGTTAACTACTCAAATTAAAATAGGAAGGAAAAGGATAGCGCTTTTAGCACTGAAGACCATTTCCCTGTGACCTAAGCTCTGATGCTTAAATCTGTAAATGACCTTGACAGGATGCGAGAGGAGATAGCAGATTTGACACAATGAAACAGCAGGAGACAGCAGATACATTCAAGAGGCTGAAAAAACAGGCTCACCATTCAGTATCTGTATTTGGAAGCAATAATAGTAATAATAAACTATAACAAACAAATGTCTAACATTATCAGCTTAGGTATAAATGCTATGTCACTGCAGCATCATAAAGGCTTCTGGTCAACAGTATTCATGAAAAGGGAATTTGCACTAATGAAAAAAAATACACCCTTCTTCCATTTTGCATCCTCTTGCTCACCCACTGGGGAAAAAATGAGTAAGGCTGAGGGACACAGTATTCTTTCCATACTTCAAAGCTAGTACAAGGAATAAATTGCCTGATCTGCTGCTGTTTCTGGAAATGTTCACAACCCATAGCTCCATTCTGCCCTCCAGTCAGCCAAACCTTTGAACAAACATGTTTAATTCATCCAGGCTTGGAGGTATTAGGTATGGAGATCTGTAATGTGAATCATCTGACAAGCGAGGGGCACTGACAGTGGCAGCAGAAAACAGGAGAAAGATGGCTGAGAAGGGACTGGATGTTAAGTTCAAGCTGCTGGCAATCAACCAAGAGACACAAAAAAACCCTCATATTCTAGGGCTGGATTTGGTACTACCTTCACACTCCAGGAAGCTGAGAGGCCTTGGCAATTGGTGACATGGGGGAGGCCAGATTCAAATCCGGCTGGGATGTGTTAGCAGAACGGCACCCAGTGCTGCAGCAGTATTAATGATGCTACGGCAGAAAGTAAAGTTCTGGGAGTGGTACAGGAAGAAAGGGGAAATACCAAGAGCCTACTGCCAGGGCATATAAATGTTTTGGGGCTGTGTTCACTTAAGAGGGGTACTGCAAAGCAGAATTTGAGAAACACAGGGCACCTATCAGCTTGCAGCAAGTTTCAAAGCCTTCCTGATTGACCTCCATCCTTTCTTACTTTCTCTGTTCACTTGTGCATGAAGAGCAGTTTTCTTCTGCCAGATCGTTAATTATAATGACAGATTCAACCAATGTTCACTGCAGTACCCTTGTGTATGTCACCAAAAAGTGACACTGCTTTCCATTTACCCAGGCCTTTTGCTTACAGCTCATCAGTCACTTTCTACTCCAGGAAACAATTTCTCATCCATACTCTGTGCCAGTCCTCTTTGAGGACTGGGAGTCCTTGTGTGGGACCACTTCTAGGAATCTCAGGAATGCTGTTCTACCTGGTGCATTTTCTTACACTGGAAGTACAGCTGGATATTAGGAAGAATTTCTTCTCTGGAAGAACGTGAGGCAGTAGCACAGGCTGCCCAGGGAGGTGGTGGAGTCACCATTCATGGCAGCATTCAGGAACATCTGGATGTGGCAGTGAGGGACATGGGCAGTGGGCACGGTGGGGATGGATTGGGGTTGGATCAGATGGTCTTAGTGGTCTTTTCCAACCTGAATGATTCTGTGATTCTGTGGAATGGCTATTAATTCGAGTTAGTACTGCTAGTCTCTTCTCACCTCAAGGCCTTGGGCAGCCTGAGCTGGTGGTAGCGGTTGGTGCGTGGCCCTGCCCACAGCAGGGAGTTGCAACTGTGGGGGCTCTAAGCTCCTTTCCAAGCCTAGCTATTCCGTGATGCACCACGCTTGGCTCACTTTAACTCCCTTTAGAGCATTTTGCACCTCGCAAGAAGCAGCTCGACCACTTGCACAACCAGTCACGCTCTCAGAACCAAGGCTCCTCTCAGCACAAAGCCCGGCCCGCAGTCACACCCAGCCCTACCTACCCCCCAGGCCTTCCCGCCCTCGGCGCCCGCCGCCGCGTGACACCGCCCCGCTACCCCATTGGACGCCGCGTGACACCGCCTTGCTTTTCCATTGGCCACCGCACCCGGAAGGGGCGGTGCCACCGCTGACCCGCGTGTGCGTCGGCTGAGGGGCGGCCGCGGGTGCGGGTCTCGGCGGCGGCCTGCCGGCTAGCAGCGAGCCGGCGCCGCGGCTTCCTGCTTCTCCCCGGTTCCCTTCTCCCCCAACGGCCGAGCTGCGGAGCGGCGATCGGGTAGGCGTGCGCTCGCTTCTCTTCGCGGAGGGGCGGGGCGGGGCCGGCAGCCGCGTGGCGGCGGCTCGGGGCGGGGTCCCGCCGGCTGATTTGTGCCGAGGCGGCGGTCCGCCTGCCTGGCCAGAGGAGATGTGCGGTAGCAGCGTGTGAAGCGTCTAAAGTAGCTGCCGGGAAATGCGGAGTGCTTGTCTCCTTGGTCGGCCAAAAGCAGTGAGAAGTTAACAATGCAGGGTTTGGCCGCATCAGGAACTCAGTTGGCACGGATGTGAGGATGCTGTCAGTTTGTTTCGTGTTAGAAAGCTGCCTCAGGCCGAGCTAAGCCGAGGTGAGCTTACACTCCTAGCAGTGACTGTGGCTGGGCACGTCGCTGTGATGCACAGTTCCATCTGTACTGCGTGAGGCTGCACGGCTGGGAGAGCAGTGTGCTGGGGAGGCTGTATGGCTTTTCTTTGGGTACTTCAGTAACTTGAGCAAGGCCTTTTTGCTAGTTCTGGGAATGTATTACAGATTAAGAGGCCAGTTTTATGCGAACTTGGAAGCTTTTTTATTGTTGTTGGTTTTTTTTCCATTTATTGCCTAATAGGGCACTGCAATGGAGAGTACAGTGTCTGTTACGTTCCTCGTATCGTTTTTCATACTGTTGTGTGAAAGTTATCATCATGGAGTGGAGACAACTACTGTCGTGCAGACACTGGAGAGAACTTTTCCAGAAAAGGCAGCTGGCATTAATGATGACTTGGCAGGATTGAGACAGAAGCATCACCTTCAAGAACTTTTTAATCGTTATGGAGAAAACAACTCTCTGACAATTGAAGGATTTAGAAAACTGATACAGAACATAGGGATAGATAGAATGAAAAGAATTAAAATAGACCACAACCATGATCATGACCACGATCATCACTTTCATCGTAACCACATTTCCTTGAGTAAAAACTCTGAGAAGACTGTTTGTCCGAACCACGAATCTGATGCTAACAAAGACCCCAGGAACAATCATTCAAAGGAACCTCATAAAGCAGAGACTGCAGACCATCAGCACAACTTTGTTTACAGTAAGAATGCCATTAATGAAATCACTGGGTCGATCAACACTACTCCCACAGACGGCAGTTCTGAACTGCAGAATTTGGAACCTGCAGAAGGCAAGTCTGTAGCTCAGGTAGGCCTGGCTGGATCTAACTCCATTAATATCACAAATGGAAGCAGCACGAGTTGGCTCGCAAACATCAAGTCAAACGAATCTCATGTTTCTCCGAAGGAATTGGAAAAAGGAAGTTACCTGTATTCCAAACTTAAAAACACAAATACGCAAGAGGTGAGATGCTCTGTTGTGTTCTGGGTCCATTAGGAGCATTGTTATGGCTTGCTTACTGGGAGCTTAATGTTTAACTGGGTCCAGGCTTTATAGTATAACTGTATTCATAGAAGAAACGTGGAACAATAGCTTCTCTTGAATCATAACTCTTTGGCTTGAAAAAATGTTATGCTCACAAGCTCAGAAAATACACACACTATCTCATTTATGTAATACTCTTTTCTTAGAAGGAAATGCATGTTTACATTAAATATAAACACACATTTGTTTTTATATACTTATTTACTTACTCTAAAATATGCAGTGACATCGAAGAGCTCTATTTAGGCAAGCACATACAAGTTAGCAACACTCTGTAGGAAAACTCCCTTTTACTTTATGCAAAAACAGCAAGGGAACTTCAAGTACCCAAGGCACCATGGAGTGAATACTCAAATACTGTTTTCCTGAAATGAATTTCTTGCTGTGTAAGTGCAGCCAAAAACCACGTGTGCATGTGACTGTGACTATAGAGCTTGTACTTTGGTGCACAAGACCAGGAAATAAATAGCATGGGGCCCTGATCTGGAAATAACTGAAGAAGAAAAGTTTTCGGCAAAATGATGTCTGCTACTTTAAGGTAGTGAAAAAGAGTGCTGATGAAGTCAATCATTTTGTTGTAAACAGTTGTTACACGATCTTTCTGCACCAAGAGCTTTAAAAAGCAAGTGTTCCTCTGGAGTGTTAATTGTGTAGTTATTCTAGTTAGTTCAGAGCAGGCATGTGCAGCGTTTGATTAGTGGGTGCTGTATCTGTGAGTAATTGCTGCATTCTGCACAGTCAGAGCAGAAGTGCTGCTGTGGGAATCAAGGGGAGTACTGAAGCCTGTAGGTCATGGAGTGGAAAGTTCTTTTCTGAGGGAAATATGTGGTGGTAGTGCTCTGCAGAAGACTTTCCACAGTAGTGACATAAAACAAAGCTTAAGAGCTTTTTTTATTATTCCTTATCCAGCCTCTAAAACAGAGTCAAAACTGTTAGGCTTTTTCTAATCTCAAAACAAACCATCTGTTCTCCTTGTGTTGAGAACGTGTGATAATCACACATCATCTGTCAGCGCTGCCCAGCTTGCCTTCTGGGCCAGAAGAGAGGATAAAGGTGTAGTTCTTACTGAAGTGATTCGTTACTGCTTTTTAATTACTGCCTGTGTAGCTGCGGTCATGTGGAGTTGCTACTGATTTCAATTAAGATAGGAGATGCAGTCATTTTAAGGTACAGTATTTTGATTCTGGCTAACTTAAAGAAATGTCTTCCCACAGTGCTCCAGTGCATCAAAGCTGATGCAGTCCCATGGAATAAGCACTGAAGTACTGTTGTCTGCCACAGAATTTAGCTATCTCTGCCCAGCTCTTATTAATCAGATTGATGGGAAATACTGCATAGTGCATGCGAGTAGCGAAAAAGCTGAAGCTCCTCCAAAAGGTTATTCTCTGCAAATAGGTAGGTTATTTTTTTTAATGAGAAATAAAAGCCTGCTCAAAACCCATACATGTTATAAATCTCCGAAATGTTTTTCGAAGCTGATGATTTTCTTTTGGGGCTTTTTATCACATGTGGGCACAAATCTTTATGGCCCAACGCTTGCTAATATCTAATCAGATGATAAGAGTATTTGATTAAAAAAAAAAAAGTTAAGCAAACAACATCTCGTGTAGCAGTTGTTTACATTTTCTTTTTCTTCTTTTAACAGCTTGGATTGGTGGCTTTATATCCATCTCAGTCATCAGTTTCCTTTCTTTATTGGGGGTTATACTGGTACCTTTGATGAATCGTGTGTTTTTCAAATTTCTTCTGAGTTTTCTTGTGGCATTGGCTGTGGGGACTTTAAGCGGAGATGCCTTCTTACATCTCCTTCCACATGTAAGTATTAATTGCTGATTCATTAGTTATTTCAAGAGGGCCATATTGACAGCTGGCTGTATCTATTAGTGGTAGTTTCATTAATTAACATATGCTAGTAAGATAGATTATTTAATAGAAATATGTATTTTTCTCTCCTAATAACTTCCTGTTTGGAGCTGTTTGTATTATTTCTGTCAGTCTTATAGCGTAAAACTTCACACCCCTTTCTCTCAAGCTGTATCCTGTTTTCTCAGTCATGCATACTGCCAAATTGCTCACAGTTTGTCACGCACAAGAATTTTGCATAAATGCTTTTCTAGTCACTTATTGCAGTGCCATCTCTTTCTCCTCCATCAGTTTCATGAACCTTATGGGCAACAGAAATAGTTCACTGTGCTCTTTAGATGGGGAATAGAAAATCCACTGTTTCATGTTGTCAGACATGTATGTTGATTGCTTATCCATTGTAATGTTTTTTTTTTTTAATCAGAATTGAACATTTCTAAAGTCCTAAAAATACATTACTTGATAGGCTTTGAAATGTTCCATTACTGATAGGTAATACAGACAATAAAATTGGAATATGGTTGTAACATTTCTAAATTTCTTGAAGCTCTTGATCACATTTCTAGATGCAGCTTCCAGGTAAGATGTACTAAACAGCAGGTTTCAGAGCTGTGAGTTCTTTCTGTTCGTTTCTTAGTCTTGAACTTTCCATGTGATGTCCCTGAAAATCTAAATGTATGTGTATGAATGTAATGCATGTGTGCATTATATCTGCAAGTAACTTCACTGAGAGAATGAAAGCCAGGACTGTTCTCAGTAGTTTCTGTCAAGACATTTTCCTTGTAATTGCTTGAGGTTGTATTCTGAGCATTTATCCCATTCTAAGTGCTAAATCTGTACTCAAGATTTGAGGAGAGAATGTAGAGAGAGCTTTGTATGTTTCCTTTGTTGTCAATTCTTCTGAATATAATGACTTCCCCTCTTGCTTCTCCTTTTAGTCTCATGGAAACCACCACCATCACCACGAAAAGGCTCCGCTTGAACAGAACAGAGGTCCTCTGTTCAAGCATCTTGTTTTTCAAAGTACAGAAGAGAGTGCTTACCTGGATTCTACATGGAAGGGACTTACAGCGCTGGGAGGCTTGTATTTTATGTTTCTAGCGGAGCATTTGATCACTTTAATAAAGCAGTTTAAAGACAAGAAGAAAAAGGTAGAGAAACAATTAATTTGAATTTGTTGCGTTGCATGATGACTTCTGAGTACGCTTTTATAGAAACAGAAGGATTGTGTATGTTGTTATTGGATAAAGTAGCAATTGCTGACTAGATTAGCACTCTGTTCTGTTTCTTTTGGTGGCTTTCAAACTAGACAGTGGTTTGGTTTCTTTTTTTTCTTTTTTTTTTCTTTTTTGTGGTTATGTCGGGGAAGAGTTCAGAACTGTCTCCTTAACCAGACAGGTAGTGTGTGTGAATTGTTTAATAAGCACACAGCTTTGTTTTAAGTTAGAAATTTGGGAAGTTATTGTTCATTATTGACTTCCTTCTGACTTCTTAAGGAGATCATAGGATTGTCTAATCCTTAAAATTGTTCATTTAAATCTAAAATTCAGATGTAATAAGATGGCCTTGTGCAGTTACTGCATTACTGCTGAAGGAGCACTTCCACAAAATGGGTAAGGGCAGCAGTCACTCCTTAGGCAGCTCAGCGTCTGTCTGCACTGTAGAGGGTGACAGAAGGTGATACCTTTAGTTGGCATTTTGCTTGGAAATACCACCTTGGAAGTTTTACTCTCTCCCAAAATGACAGTGCAACACAGCCTTCGCATTACTATGCTGTGTTTTATGTGGAAGGTGTAAATAATGATTGATTCCAGTGAGTTGTAAATGCTAGAACAGCAGATTCGGTGCAGAAGTTGTAAGCTCTTTTACTTGGATCCCAGCTGATTCTGTCAGTGTGGTTGATGCTGGAGTAAGTGAAACTAACTGAGTGACAGGATCAGTTCCACCGTCTTTAGTTAAATGTATTCACAAGGAGATGATGTGAAGAGTTACAAGCAAAGCTAGTATTTTCTGTATCCTTATGTCAGCCACTGAGAATGGATTTCCTGTTGAACTAAGGCACAAGGCTTTCTACATAGCTATTGATTATAAACTTTTGTGACACTGACTTTAACAAGCCATGAATGAAGGTTTTTGTTTGGCTTTTCTTCAGTATGCCAGCATTAAGCATTACACTGATGTTACAGATCTAGCAGAGTTGTTCTTGTTCGGCATATTTTTGTGTTTTTTACTTATCAGATGAATCCTTCTATTTAGTCCTTTCACAGAAGTACATGGTATTTACTTATTCATGTTCATTTTTTCACTCCTTTGGAGCCTGGGGAACTTTTGTCTTTTTACTGTACTTAAAAGAATTTCTAATGTTCCTCTTTTGCCTCCTTTATATGGCTTCCATGTTGTCCTCTTTCTGTGCAGGCTGCATAAATGTTGTGAATATAATATTGCTCATGTATATCCTGAAAAATAAGTAAAATATTCATAACTACAGTATTTTCTTTTGGAATAAGAAAAAAAATGAAGATGATGGAGAAAGTAAGAAGTTTTCAGCGAATGAAGAAAAGTTAGATACAGATGATCGTAAGTCTCAGTAATGTCACTGCACAGTTGTTCTTGTGCAACAGCACAGCTTAAAAAAGCACTGTATCTGATTGATGGCAGTTTATTCATTTGATTCTTACTGTAGGTTGATCGCTACCTCCTTCCAACTTATCCAACCTTTCTAAAGAAGGTAGTGGATTCAGTTTAGAAACGAGTGTTTTGAAGTCATTCTGGGAAGCTCTACTGGCTATGCCTGCTGCATGTGTAGACGTACCTAATGACTTCTACACTTCTATTAGACTGCTAGATGTTGGATACAGAAGTCTAAATAACAGACCATGCATACTTAAGTCCAGTTTTCTGGGGGTTTGAATGTTTATTCTTAAAGTTGATAATCCATAATCCAAGATGTTCAAGTACTTCTGCAAATGGTCGGATGTCTTGAAGATCATGTTGCAAACAAAGCCACACCTCACTAGGTATTTGTAAGCTCTTGTAGTTAAGAGCAGCTTCCAGTTTTTTCAGGAGATAGTTTTCTGTCTAAAGAAAGAGATCTCAGCAGTGCAGGAAAAGAACTGTAGGCAAGGAACGTAACGAGACTGGAGAGTTTGTCAGATAAAATAGTCAATGTTAGTGTGCTGTTAATGTTCACATGAGGACACTTCACATAGTGTTTATATTCTTGTGTGTATATTTTCAGGTGCTGAAGCTTAACAAGTTGTGTATATTATTTATTTCTGTACAGAATGCAGGGAGGTTGCCACAATTTTGCATGGCATAATCTTGTTCTCTTGCGTTCTTACTTCTTAGCCCAAAGATGAGTTAATGTCATATGCATTTCAGTTTTCTTTGTTCTGAGGCAATTGAGCTAACAGCTTTCACGCTATGAAATTTGAACATAGTGCCTTATGCTGTTGTACTTAAATTGCACTGCGTCTTAGATGAAAAGTTGGTTTTTTTTTATTCTTCTTCTTTGACTTTTTAGGAGACATTTGTGGCCACAATGTATGGGACTGCTTTAGTGTTAGGAGACAAAGTAAAAGCTTTTTATTGTTATGACATAAGAATTTTCCCCCAAATCTGATTAAAACAAAAATTGGTTGTGGAAGCATTTGGTACAGCACACTGGGTTATCAACTTCAACTTTCAGACTTGCTATTTTTTTTCTTTATCAATTATTCGACTTGCTCATTTTATCTTTGCTTCCTGGATGACTTTAAAAATATATAATATTATGCTCTGGGTTTTTGTAACAGGGTCTGAGGGCTATCTAGGGACAGACTCACAAGATCCATCGCCCTTCATTTCTCAGCAGCCAGCGGTACAAGAAGAAGAAGAAGTCATGATAGCTCATTCTCATCAAGAGGAGGCTGATAATGAATATGTATCCAGAGGCTGTAGGAACAAATGTCATTCTCACTTACACGATACTCTTGGACAGACAGATCATCTGAGTCATCACCACCACGACTACCATCACATTCTTCATCACCATCATCATCAGAACCATCATCCACACAGTCACAGCCAGCGCTACTCACGTGAAGAACTGAAGGATGCTGGCATAGCAACTCTAGCATGGATGGTGATAATGGGAGATGGACTGCACAATTTCAGTGATGGCCTAGCAATTGGTAAGTGTTGGTTTGAACACAGCAGTCAGGTGTGACTGTAGCCAGGCATTGCTGCCATGTGTCTTTTTTGCAATATTGTGGTTGTTCTTCCTCATACTTGTACAGGTCTGTGGAAGCTGAGTAGTGCTTTTTATGTTCTGGCAGTGTCTAAGTAGGGCACTGGTTACCAACTGTCAGAAGAACAACTCATGGAGAGGATATCAGTAATATCAATGTATGCTGCCTTTATGCAGATCTCTGCTTCAAGAATGTCTCCATTAACTGTAGAAGTATAGAATAAGTGCATTCCTTCAGGCACTCAGTGTCCTGAACAGATTCAAAACAAGCTTAGTCTCATTTTTGAGAAAATGTTTAAAAAGCGTTTTATTTTTCTCAAATACTGATCTTGCTCAACTCAAAATCTGCTCTTAGTTTTTTTTTTTAATTTCAATGAAGTTTAATTATATTAAAGATGGTACAGTATTCTTATAAAGAAAATCAAAATACTTTCCTTTTTGTTTAGATTCCTTTCTTTCCCTTCATGCATTATAGTCTTCATTCTTTTTTGACAGAACTTTAACTGAAAGGCCTTTTTGGTATGACAAATGAACAGATTAATGTTCGTGTTTTGGTCTCCTGGACTTGACCTTGGATCTTGGTGTCTCCTTTCTAGAAGGAAAAATTTGATGGTAGAACTAAATTATAGAAAGGGAAGTTAAATCAGTAATCATTCTTAGTTCTTATGCTGTTCTTTCATGATCTTGAATTCAATAATTAATGCTATTCCACGTGGTGGTTTTGTTTTGTTTTAGCTATTGGATTGGATTCATTACCAGCCTGTACAGAGTAATGAAGAGTCAGTTCAGCAGGAACAGTCTTTCTATAAATTTTACTGCATAGACAAGTCCATTCTTGTTTAAGCAGAAAGCTCAATAGTAAATGTTTTCTTACAGCAGTATTTGCAGTTGTTCAAGTTCAGTCAGTTCAAAGAATAATGTGAGAAGAGACCTTCTGTGATTTAATCTTTTATTTTTATTTCTTTATGAAAGTTGAAGTGTGGAATGTAAATTTTCTAGCAGATGAGTTCTGAATGTGTGGTAGAAGAAGGATTTGCATTCAAATTACATGCAGAATCAATTATCTCTTAGCATTTGGGAGGTTTAGAAAGGAACTATGATTTAATAGTTATGAAAAGAAAACTATGAGAGGCTTATAAAAGCTTACTGAGTAAGCGAGAGCAGTAGCCTTTAAAAGTTCTGCCATGTTCAGACTAATGAAAGTGGAGATTATTATTATTTTTAAATTCTGGATGAGTTTGAAAACCACCTACTTGATGTTTTGTCCATACTACTTATATAATATTTCTGCTTATTTACATGAAGATGTAAACATCTTCTGTGAAGATAAGTGAAGGGCTTTCTGGCTAAACTGAAGTTTGTTCATTTCATGTCATTTGTGAATTGGTAACTTCCGTCAGTTACTTTTTCCTTTAAATCTCTTGTGATTATTACATAGCAATGAGATTTAAGTGCTTTGATTTCCATCATGGAACACTTGCACTGACTAACCTTTATGAAATTATGCTCTGTGATTTGAACTTTTCTGTATAGCTTCAACTAAATAACTAACATGCAGAATGCTGTTTGTTTCCATACTAATCTTACCTACATTTTTACTTCTATTTTTTGAGAGAAGCGATGAGTCAAATATACTTGTAAATACCGTAACACTATTAAATCAACTTCTTGGGGAGGAATACCATCAATCAGATTCATTAGTGTAGTATTCAGTTTGCTGAAAATGTGTTAAAATATTAGTAGTCAGTGAAAAATAAAAACAAATATTCCTGTTCTTAAGCTTCTCTTTTGGTTGTTATGAGTGCAGTATGTGCATTATACAGCTTTCTCAACTACTTAGATGGTTGGTAACACAGTCAGCTTTTGTATGGTTTGCCTTGGTGGCCACAAAATTAGGTTTACCTTTTGTGACTTAGCTGGACTCTTGTATTTTCACTTCCTTCTAATAAATGATAAGACTGAAAACATTGTATAAAGGCAGTAATGTAGAGGAACTCCTAGATTATTGAGGATGCAGGCATGGGAGAAGGTAATTACTTTCTGCTTTCCTTATCTACTCTCTTCAAGAACTGAAGCCCAATTTAATTCTGAGGAGGTCTCTTGTCTTGGGAGATAACTGTAGCTATTCTGTCTCTTTCAAAATCTGACTCGGAAACTATAAAGCAGTATTTAGAAGAAAACAGATTGATGCGTAGAGAAGATTGATAGTTTTTACTAATAGCCTCTTTAGCTAGTCAAGTAGCAGTAACTTGTCAATTATGTGTTAATTACTGTGTAGACGGCCATGACTAAGTGTTTTGGAGTGCTGTGTGAAATACTCTTGTTGAGGTCTTAAATCAAAATAGCTTTAGTCTTGCACACTGCGGCTCACTGAATTGAACTTGGAAAATAGAACCATAAAATGGGATGCTCCTCGGAGGTCACTTGAAACACAGTGCTTGGAAACACTCGGTGGAGCCAGTCATGGATCCGCACAGCCACCCCTTGGAAACTTCCATGGATGGCTGTTTCTCCCCTTCTGTGGCCAGCCTTGTCTGCTGTTGCACCTCTCTCTTAATAATGAAGGTTTTATTTATGTGTAGCCCGAAGCTCCTGGTTGTAATTTGCAGCCTCTCTGACTCGTTATCTCTCACTGCTTTGAAGAGCTAGGCTCCTGCTTTTGTATTTGCACTGAAGGTGGCTGTGGGCTGCTGTTTATTCTAGTGAAAGAAGTGGAATTTAAATATACACAGCTTCCTCAAGCTTTTAGACCATGTGCTGTAGGCTTCTGATCATCTTGTAAGCCTTTGGGCAGTATGCACATCCACCTTGAGCTATCTGTTTTAGGCAGTATTTCTATGCTAGATCAAGTGAGCTTTGGTGGTCTCCATACCACCATGCTTGCAGTTGAGGAGGACTGCAAGCAGTGGGCTTCCTTATGCAATAGCTCTGGTTGGCAGGTCTGCCTAAGGCATCTACCCTATGTGAGAGGGAATTGCCTGCCATTGAAAAGTTTTTCTTCCCGTTGTGCTGGCCCTAATCTGACCATCTGAAGTGTTGGGTGAATATTTTGGGCTGAGCAGAACTCATTTTCCTGGCAACTGTTGCCGGAAGTGTGACAGTTTTTTGCCTGGGTGGAAGCTGCTGGAGTACTGGTGGAGAGATGGGCTTCTTTCCTGTGCTCTCACAGCTGTGATAGCCATCCCTCTGCCAGCCCTACTCCTGGATCCCCTGCATGCAAGCAGCTACAAATGACTCCTCTTTGCAGCATGGTATTGCGCTTATTTCAGAAATCAGTGAAATTTGGTTTGCTTTAGAGGATTAGAGGGCATTATGTTGCTTTGGGGTGACATGTATCAATCTTAAAAACTTCAGTGACACTTCTGAATGCTTGCTGAAACATAAGAAGGTTTGAGTGAGAATAATTTTGTCCTAACTTAATAAGAAGCTGCAACAGTATGTCAGCATTTGATGACTGAACATGACCTAATGTCTTTTTTTCTGTCTTTCTGTAGGAGCAGCCTTTACTGAAGGCTTATCAAGTGGTTTAAGCACATCTGTGGCTGTGTTTTGCCATGAATTACCTCATGAGCTAGGTAAGACCCCAATATTTCAGTATGCTGCAACCACCTAGGTACTCGCAGGTGCACTCTGGGGAATTGTAGGTTATTTTATTCTGTTTTACAGTACAGTTTTTTGATAAGTCAATTCAGCCGTATCAGACTGTTTACTCAATGATACTTTTATTTAAAATAATGTTTATGAACTGCATTAATATTCCTTTAAAAAATCTAAACGGCTCTGCTACCATGTTTAATTCTCTTGTAGAATTTTACAAATTGTTCTGCATAGTTTGTATTTCTTATTCTTCATAGCACAGATAGTGAATGGCAGAAGAGTGCATGTTAGCATTTGCTTTTGTCACATCTGTTTAATTTTATTCTCATGTGCTATTGAAATTAAGATTACATCTAGTCAGAATCCTTTCTGTGTAGTATGTGCTGCTTTTTCCACTAAGGTAGTTCCTCACTTAAATTAGAGCGACTTCAAATATTCTAAAATGCTTTCTTTTTTAAGTCTAAGTGATCAAAATTCATGACCACAATTGCTTATAGGAATGCCCATAAGCTTGCTGTTATGCCCTGCTCCTGAGAGCAGAACTTGACTTTTTGGTTGAACTCTGGAGAAGAAGCAGCTCAGGGGAGACCTTAGCACTATCTACAGTTCTCTGAAAGGAGGTTGTGGCGAGGTGGGGGTTGGCCTCTTCTGTTACTATCAATTGGACAAGGGGGAATGGCCCCAAGTTGCACCAAGGGAGATTCAGGTTGGATGTTAAGAAAAATTTCTTCTCAGGAAGAGTGGTCAGATGCTGGCAAGGGCTGCCCAGGGAGGTGGTGGAGTCACCAACCCCAGAGGTGTTCAAGAAATATTTAGATGTTGTACTGAGGGATGTGGTTTAGTGAGGAAATGGTGATTTGGTGATAGGTGGATGGTTGGACTTGGGTGACCTTGGAGGTCTTTTCCAAACTCGGTGATTCTATGATCTCCTTTCCAGTTGTTGAAGCATTTTGAACATGTAACTGATAGTTCTTTCTTGCTCACCGTGGTCTTACCTGGTGTACAGAATGAGGAAAGAACAGTTTGCTTACACTTCTTAAACTGGTTTAATCCTCTAGAAAGTGGACTGCTCAATTAATTTAATGGAGCTTGTAAACCAGCATGTATATATCAAACTATTTATTAAATGATACATCTGGCTTGTCTGTACAATCATGTTGTAGAAATAAATTACTTTCTCTGGAGAACATTTGTGGTTTTATGGCAGGGAAGAAATTATCTTGTTCATCTCAATATAAATTCTGTAGGAATTACACAACTTGTATTAACTACACATACAAGGTGTCATTAATACAAGCATACAAAATAAGTTCATGTTATACATCCAGTGCTTTGGAGTCAAATGTTGTTTGCTTTCAGGCAAGAAATCTTTCTAAAATTTAAATCCTGCTATTTCGGCCAATGCAGAAAACTTACTGTGAATACCTTGTTTACCAGAGAACATGGAATGAAACAAATTGGGCTAGCTGATGTTAACTGGGGAAGAAATTAGATCTTCTTGTTCTTAATGCTAAGCAATGTTCATAGTGTTACACCAGTTAATCTTAATTGTATCATCTTGTGGGAAAAGCTGTTGTAACAAACTTCTCAACTCCACTTTGGAAACTGCTTTTAATGATTTTAACTGGAGAGAGGTTACTTTTTTTTTTTTTTAATTAGAACCAATTTTTTTTTTTTTTTTTTTTCCAAGTAGTAAGCTTGCATTATTTTAGTCCCTTTTGTTTAGATACATTATACTGGTCTTAGGACAGATTTCTACTCTGAATGATGGGAGATCTTTCTGGCTGGTGACTGATCAGTCTTTTAAACAAAATTAAGGCTTTAAGGGACACTTAAAAATTAGTGAAAACTTCCTAAATTTAAGAAAGCTACAGTTAAAATACTAAGAAAAGTTACAAAATAAAAGGAATTATCTTGGTAACATTGATTTAATCAAATACGTGGGAATGCTTTTTTTAGGAACTGCCTTGGGGTGCACGTACATATCAGGTAGAGCAGTACGTTGGTTGAAAGACAAACTACACTAAAAGCTTTTCCTTTCAAAAATCATGAAAACGTAAGGCTGTGAACTTGCTGCGCTTGTTCTTGTGTATTTTAATTGTTTTCCCACTGTTTTCTAACTTTATGAAGGAAAACGTAAGGCAAATGACAACCTAATCACTTCATCTTATAAGAAAGAGAAAATATGACATGCTGCAATAGCTTCCTGGGGGTGTAAACTTCTGTTTTCTGCTGCTGTAGGAGATTTTGCCGTGCTTCTAAAAGCTGGCATGACCGTCAAGCAAGCTGTGCTTTACAATGCCCTGTCAGCAATGTTGGCCTACCTTGGAATGGCAACTGGGATACTCATTGGTCATTACGCAGACAATGTCTCCATGTGGATATTTGCACTTACTGCTGGCTTATTCATGTATGTGGCACTTGTGGATATGGTAAGTGGTTGTGTTTACGTATCCTGTGTTACACATAACATAGTGTAAGAATTGATATCAATTAAACTTTGGCCATAAATTGTTCTACTCTCTCTTCTTCAACATTTTTTTTGGTGCTTGAAGGGACTCAGAAGTGCTCAGGTAAATGTCCAGGTGCAAGATTGCTTTTAGTTAGATGACTGTTGGTGTAGAGTGTAGCAGATGGTGTGCAACTTGTAGTCTTGCTGGCTTTTTCCACCACCAAACGTGGTTTGGATTTTGCAGTAAAGCATTAGCACTTCTTTTGGTGAAGCCAGGATTGTATTAAAATCTCTCCTGTATCTCAGAATTATGCTTGTACAGAAGTACAAAGTGCTTAATGGATGTTCATGGAAGATTAAGTGTCGTTTTAAGAATAAAATGCTTGGTGTGGCTTGATGAAATCAGTTGGTAAATAAGCCAGCCATTTACTCCAAGCATAATTAAAGCATCAGCATAATTATCATGAAAACAGTAATTAGACCAGTACTGACTCTGTGTGTGTAAATAGCTTATATGAAAGTAGACAGTGAATGTTACTCATGTTGAGTGACACCTGATTCATGAAGTAGTATTAATGCAGCCAACAGAAAAGTCTTGAGGAGTAAGACTCAGCCATCATGCGCCACATCATTGAAGAACTGTTCTAAATGACTGCTTATTTTGAAGGCATTTAACACTCTCTTGTTTATTTAGGTGCCTGAAATGCTCCACAATGATGCTAGTGATCATGGATGTAGTCGCTGGGGATACTTCCTGTTACAGAATGCTGGGATTCTCTTGGGTTTTGGGATAATGCTGCTCATCTCGGTGTTTGAACATAAAATTGTATTCAGCATAAACCTGTAATTTTGCCAGGCTAAAGATTGGTGTTAAGTTATAATTGGTAGTTGTTGTTTTTATTCCATAATGGAGGGGTACGCTTGGTATAGTCTAGGTATTTCTATTGGTGTGTTTTGTTGTCGTCCTTGGGTCTTTCAATCTCCAACCCTTTTCTCTCCCATAGCAATGAGAAGTGTAAGGATTTTCACTCAGAATGTAGTGTTGCATACGGTACCATGACAAGACAAACTCAGTAAGTCATAGTGAGTGCCAAATCTATTAATGCAGTGTCTCCTGTGGTGGGGGCCAAAGTGTTTTTGTGAATTTATTTACTGTATGTAAATATATGTAACAGTGGCTTTTTTTTTTTTTTTACTTCATGTTTTTGTTGGTATAAAGAAATAAAATGTCAGTGGTTCTTATTCTACCACAATCAAAACCAGTGAACAGAGAGCACAGTGAGCAGTGTAAAGCAACAAAGACATGCAGTACGTAGTGTGGATTTATACTGGTAGAAACTGATCTCTGTCCACTTTGTTTACAGGGGGTGGCAGATGAGCTCACCCCATCCTCTTGGTGGTGCTTCTCCTTGTGGGTTCTGTTTCCTACTCCAGTTGGTTTCTACTGCAAATGATTTCATGTGAAATTGTTTGATTGAAGTGTTTGTGACAAGTATGTTTCACCTGTTTCTTCCCCAATGATAGCAGTTGCTCTTCACTGAATCCTCAAACTGGCAAGAGCAGTATGGCCATTGCATTGTAAAATGTTTCTGTAGCTGTAGTATACTTGAATGCCGTTAAAGAGACTTTTAAAGCAGTGTTCTATCTCATTTATGCTGCCTGAAAGGGTGAAGTTATATCACAGTTTTTGATATCATGGGGAGTAGTGTTAGTAGTCCTTTGCTCAGCCTTCTTGGTTTGGTTTTGGAAATGGGATGACTGGGAGAGCTGAATTCATCTAGTTCTGCATAATAACATAAGGTAAACCTGTGCTTGCAGAACAGTTGCATCCTTTCAGCTAAATCTGGAAGATCCAAAGAGCAAGCTTTCTGACAGCACGTCTAGAGAAGCAGAATATGAAGAATAACCTGTATGTACGTGAGTGTGTGGTTTGAGCTTACAGCTATGGTCTTAGTATCTCAACCACCCTGAAAGTATCCGTAGGAAGGAAAGATGGAAAGGCCAATTGTCAGAGTGTGATTATTTTTTTGTTTTGACAAGCAGAATCCTGCATTTACAACGTTGCAGAATTGGCAGGAAATGCGAGCATTATATTATTGTGTGCCTCAACTTCTACATAGTAAGGTACGCTATCTTAACTCGCTTACTTAAAACCAGAAATAATCAATTACAGTTTTTCTCTGATTCAACTTTACCAGTGCTTCAAATCTTCAGCTGAGTAAAAAGCTTGAACGAAGAGGAAGTACTTGATGATCCCGTGTCTGACAAGTTAAAGCAGTCTGGCATATGGCGGTCTGTCATTAAAATGAAAGCCAAAACTGTCGCATCAAAAATGGGTGTTTGGAATGAATTGTAAGATTTGGTTTTTGTTGTTTGTTTCTTTCTTTAACTGGATGAGAAACAGTGTATGCAGGCAGTGAGCTGTTACCTTTTTTTTTCTTTTTTTTTTTTAACCTCCCTTCAATTCTTTACTCAGGTTAAGTGGGCAGATTTATTTAAACTGCTTTCCACAGTGATGAAATACTGTTCTATCAATGTTTCTCGAGCAAGCCAAAATAATCAGCATAGATCTGTTAAGGTTTTGATGCCAGTGCCAGAGCTCATACTGAAGGATTAAATGAGAACAGATTTTTTTCAGACTTGTGTGGTGAATACTTACCCTTTATTTTTTTTTTAACTCTGAAATAAGCTATGGCTTGAACTTCATTTCTGTGCTTTTTTTTTTAAGAAGGTCAGGTATCAATCATGCCATAACAGTGGAAAATCACAGAAGGAAAATTAGTGTGCTCAGTAAAATATTTACAACATCTGAATTGGGAACAGAAGAAAAAGGAGCAAATCAAGCTCACTTTTCCTATCCTGCAAGAGGTTACATATCTAGAAGTTGGGAGAACTGTGCTGATGATTCCCTTGCAACTCTTTTCTTTTGAAAACAGCGTGAGCAGAGCTTGTTATCATTCTCCAGATTGCCTGATCTGAAGGGACCTCAGCCTCAAAGGAGATGCTTGTTTCTTAAATCTTCCTGTAGTCAGCATTTGGCCAGAGTCTTTGGAACAGGATTTGTCTTGTTTCCTTTGAAGTCAGGAGGCAAAGGAAGAATAATGCATCCTAAGGGGAGCACTGAGGTGTGCTGGAGTCTTGTCCAACTCCAACAAATCTGCACATTATGAACCTGAGCAGTTGTTAGGAGAGAAGGACAGGCTTCTCTTTTAGAGCGCTCGTTTCATCTCTAACAAGAATACTGACAAAACACAGGTGTATCCTTTCCCTTCATCAAGTGCTTTACCTTTTTTCTTTTTTTCTTTCCTTTGTTCTGCCTTTTGGTGAACCCTCTGTACTTCCTTCAGAAGCTCACCTCTGAGCAAACAGCAGAAGGAGGCTGACAGGAGTCCTGCAGTTTGTGGTGCAGAGGAACCATACTGTGGTACAACAACCATCTGCTATGTTTTTTGTAGCATCTCCTTGAACTGCCATTCTTTGCTTCCTCTTTTTGCTGGTTCTCACAGCAGTCTTATTCTCACGTTCCGGAGACTGAATTAGGAAAGTTACACATATCCCACCTGTTGCTTCTCTTTCTTCCCTGCTTATCAACTGTTAGCTCACTTGAACTTGCTCTAAAGAGAAAGTAACTCCAATTTCTTTCAAACAATCTGAATTCTTGTGGCAGTTTTGCCCTAACACAGTTAGGACCATTTCCAAACTTACAGCTAAAGCTGTGCCTAGAGCCCCACTGCTCATCTTTCTCTTTTCTTTGCTACCCCAAGTGTTTGAATGTCATTGTCTTTGACTCCTAGTAAGCTGTTCAGTTGCTGGCATGTGCACATCACTGCCACCTTCTTCAGAAAAACAAACAAGTCTGAAAGAACACCCCCATCCCCTCACACCCCCCCGTCAATACTGAAGCTTCCATACCTTGACCAGTTGGTGCCTTCTTCGCTGACCTTTAACCTGAGTGGTCACAGTCAATCCAGTTCTTAGAACATAGCCACTCTTCTCCCTCTGGAAGTTTCTTCTGAGTATTGCAGAATTGCAGTATCTGACTTTGGTTGTGCCGTCTAAGCAGGTCTTGCTTTTCCTGGGGCAGAGCTGATGTGCTCCAGTTCTGGCTTCTGCATTGCTTCTCATGAGCAAGATGTGCTTCCAGTCAGAACACTCGGCAAGTCTTCTCTCCCCCTTTCCCTCTGAGCCCCTCACAGCTCTGTTACATGCATAAATACTGGAGGCTCCTGGTGGGTGCTGTAGGATTTGGACACTATGGTTGTCTTTTGCCTTCTGCTGCGCACCCTCAGCCATCAGAGAAATTGGACATACACACTTCCTTGGTTGTGAGCTATTTCAGATGTGGGTGGCTCCTGACTCGGTTTGCTTTGAATTCTTGCGGTTTCTGTTAGCCTACAGCCTTAATTGCTGAAGTCAGAAGGACTTCTCTTGTCTGTGTGGTAGATGGGAGATAGGAAGCAGACATTTTGCTGAGTGTCCCCTATGAGATGGTTAGATTGGTGACTATACAGCAATAAATCCACAGCTTCCGGGCTGTGCTTCCTGTGAATTGGCTGGCTTGCAATGGGAGAAACTGACGTGAAAATATCTGTGGATCAAAATACATTACTAATAAACCAATGAAATATCTGTGGATCAAAATACATTACTAATAAACCAATGTGGAAAATAAACCTGCCTGCAGTAGGTGTGGGAAAGAGGGTGAGATGATGAGCTGGCAGTGAGCCCTCGGGTTGGCTTGGTGCTCCAGCACATTCATCTCTGGTGGGGTGTGACCAGTGACTGCAAAGCACTATGTGAGCAAACCAAAGATGGTCTGAAATGTGCTGTTTGTAGCAGTGAGGTGACAAAGCTGGCCCACATTTTCATTGTCAGCCTTTAGCAGAAGCAAAGCTTCTACTTCTTAAAGGTACTTGCAGTGAAAGTTCTTATGCTTTGATAGAGGGATAGAGCAGAGTCTCTAAGCTGCCTTTTATTTTTATGCATTGATGTTTCTGAGCAGCTTGTGGTAATGTGCCTGCCTGCTGTGGCTGATAAATGGGAGCACCTTTTTTTGTGTGTCCTTGTTAACCATGGTACAGAGCTGAGTGTTGAATGCAGCTGTATCCACCTTATGTAGTGCCTGCGCTGGCCTTAGGCAAACAGGGCAAGGAAGGGTGGATTCTAAGTAATTTGCATTGTGCCACATTCTTCTTAATCTTTTGGCTCATCTGTATATGTGACATCAGTCATATGCTGTCCTTACTTGCAGCAGGAGTTCCACTGCGCATATGTCAGTCCTTGACTGAGTTCTTGGCCTGCCTGGGTCAAGCAGTGTGGCTGTTCTGTATTGATGGGGAATATTGTGCAGGTGCATAATGAATTTTGTTTAAAAAGCATTCAAGGCTACAAGGTGTAAATCCAAGTGGCTCTTCTGCTGCGTGAATTCAGGGTCAAGTGTAATTACAACTTCTCTAGAAAACTAGTTTGTTCTGTTTGCCACAAATAGAAGCAGAAACCGTGTTTTCATGCAGTTGTTCTTACTTGAAATGGGGTCTTGGTACATTTAAACAATTGTTATAGCTGCCATTGTATTGCTGCGTGCTTGATGGAATAAACCACTGAACAAAGTGCTGTTTTTTGTGTTTATTTGGGACCTCAGAGAGGTTGGGGTTGGAAGGGCCCTCAAAGCCCACCCATCCCCATGCTGTGGGCAGGGCTGCTCAGGGTCCCATCCAGCCTGGCCTTAGCGCCTCCAGCGATGGGGCACCACAGCTTCTCTGGGCAGCTGCGCCAGTGCCTCCTGCACTCTGAGTAATTAATTTCTTTCTGACATTTAATCCAAATCTCCCTTTTATTTTACTGCCCTTACCCCTCCTCCTGTCGCTATCAGACTTTCTTCATGGTCTATTTCCCTCCTGTTTATAAGCTCCCTTTAAGTAGCAGAAGGCTGTAATGATGTCTTTCCCCAGCCTTCTCTGCCCTGAACAAGCCCTCCATAGCTGCAGCTCCCTGTGCAGAATCGTGCCCTCCTCTGAACCCGCTCCAGCAGCTCCTCCTGGTGCTGAGGTCCTGGACGCAGTACCGCAGCTGTGCCCTCGCACCGTTAATTCTTTCTTCCGCTTTTCCCCACTTTGGGAGCGCACTTTTAATTACGCGCGATGGCGCCACGCACTCACCACGGCGCGCCGCTCCGCAGGGCGGGAACAGCTCGCGGGGCGGGGCTGCGCGTGCGCCGTGCGAGCGGCAGCATGGCGGCGGCCGAGACGTGGGGCGCGGCGCGGTACTTCACGCGCTGGTACAAGGCAGGTGCGGCGCGGCCGGGCGGGCGGGATGGAGCTTGCCGGGGCGTCACCCTCACCCGTGTTTGTGGCCTCTCGCAGACGTGAAGGGGAGGCCGTGCGAGGACTTCTGCGTGCTGCAGCACTCCAACAGGCGAGTTGCCGGGCGGGGCGCGGGGTATTGCTCCCCCGGGCCCGGCGCCCTCTGGCGGCGTTGCGCGGCCGGGGCGGCCACGGGGCCGACGGTTCGCGTTGCGCCCGCGCTGCCCCGCTGCTCTGCGAGGGGGTGGGGGTGACGCCGAGCCCGATGCCCGCAGCTGAAGCTCGATTGTAGGTATTTATCTACTTACAATGCTACGGGTACGGGCAGAGACAGCGCTGGAGCTGCTCCGAGCGCTCAGGGTACGGCTTTGCACCGATACGGTACGGTAACTGTCGTTCCTGTTGCAGAATCTGCGTCATAACGTTGGCAGAAGCCCACCCTCTTCTTCAGCACGGAAGAACAATTACAAGCATTAATTACCAAATCAGTCCTAATTGTAGCAGGCTTCAGAATAAAGTCTCTGGGAAGTCCAAAAGGGTACGTGTGGGGGGCTTTCTGTTTGGTTAGTTCTTGTCTGTCTCTCTCTCACTGCCTGGGACTCTCCCTCCTTCCCAGATTGACCCCTGGCAGTGACCCATCCTTTTTATTTTCAGCCCTCTGCAGGTAATTGTATTCAGACTTGAGAGAGAGACCCCCAGCCGGGAGGGTACAAGCATATATAGTATACAGAATATACAGAGACACTTCAATATTCCTTAATAGATAGAAACTTGTTTTCATAAAATGCCAAGGATTTGGAGATTGTTTTGGTGGCTTTTTTTAATTGCAGACCTCTGGTCTGTGACAGATGACAGAATGAGGGGAAATGGCCTCAAGTTGCACCAGGGTAATTTTAGGTTGGATATCGGGAAAAACTTCTTTACAAGAAAGGGTTGTTAAGCACTGAATGAAATAGGCTCCCCAGGGAGGTGGTTGAGTCCCCATCCCTGGATGTGTTTAAAAACTGGATGTGGTGCTCAGGGACATGATTTAGCAGGGGGCTGTTAGAGTTAGGGTAGCATGGTTGGACTTGATTGATGATCTTTAAGGTCTTTTCCAACCTGAGCAACTCTATGATTCTCATCTACTCCTGTAAGGAAGTATAAATATGGAGCCCCTAATGACCTGTAGCTATTCTCCTTACTTTGTTCTGTAATTCACCAACTTGTGTTATTGCTGATGTTTATGAAACTGTAAGAAGAGCTGGATAATTAGAAACACACGTATTTTTTTCCACATGCAGGGTGCTCAGTTTTTAACAGAACTTGCCCCGCTCTGCAGGATATCCTCATCAGATGGAGAAGAATACACCATTTACAGGTAAGGATTTTTAAGCTCCCACCCCCATCCTGACATACTGTGCACTTTAATGAGTCTGAATACTTTTGCAGTTGTATACGAGGGCGACTGATAGAAGTGAATGAAAACATTCTTAGCAATCCAGCGCTTCTGCAAGAAAAGGTGAGAAGCTTTTTAATTCTTAGCCTTTATTTTACTACTTCAGTGCTAACATCATTCCTCCATTTTAGCCATCAACTGAGGGATACATTGCAGTGGTTCTACCCAAATTTGAAGAGAGCAAGAGCATAACTCAAGGACTTCTGACACCAGAAGAATACAAGGAAGTTTTACTGAAACGTCAGAATTCTTCTTCAGGAAGTTAATTATACAGGCTAAATAAGCTGCTTTTACATTGTAACTTTCATGGCATTGAAAGGTGTGTCTACTTATAAAAGTGGAACTTGACATATTTGTTTTATTCTTGTATGAAACAGGCAAAATAGTTTGTAGTTTGTATATTAAAATTGTCTTCTCTCACAGCCGTAGTACGACAAATTTTTTACGTAAGCACAATTTTGGAGAGTAATTATGTTTCAGGGATCTCTTTGCTCCTGGCTCAATGCAAACATAACACATAGAGAAAAAGCACAATTGAGCTGTTAGGTAATTCAGCCCTATGTTGTATTAGTTTGGCTTGCCAAAGGTGAATTGAAAATAAAATGCAATAGGAGCCTGCCTACAACAAACAGTTAACCTTGAAAACAAGCATTTCACATCAGGTTACAATTCCTAGCATCCTGAAGTCAAATAATGCCCTTTTTATAGAGGTTTCTTATAATCAGTATCTATTTACTTCAGTTTTAAATGCTGTAATGTAAAGTCTACATGTAATGCTTCAGTGGTTCTACATGCAATGCAAATTCTGCTCAGTAAAGTTTAATCATAAAGGAAGCAACAACTGCCATCTACAGATAGAGACAGTGAAAGAAAAAGGGTTTTAGTCAAGAGTCTTAATCACTTAGGAGTACACTTTGGAAATATGAATAATGTCAGCAAAACTAAGATTCAGTGTCAAGCTCTCCCCAGAGTGTTTTTTCCTTAGGACTGAACTTCATTGTAGTATAACTAAATATTTCAGTGCTTCAGGCCACAACCTTTCAGACTACATTCCTGAATGGGCTTCATAAATCCATAGACTGAATTGGGCCAGAGAGGAGTTTACAAACATCAGCAGTAGTGTTGCATAGAGCACAGGGTTCTTTATGTGAAAGGTCTGTTAGCAGCATCTTTGGGTTGAAACATCCATTAAGACATTCGTAAGCATTAATTACAAAACCAGTATCAATAGTGAGCATAGAAAATTCATTCACATTATGAAAATACATAATGATTACACTAGTTGGTGCTGTCATTGCTAAGTAACAGGACATCTATTAGATGTGACAAAGGTCAATAGGTTTAATTCAAATTAACCTGGTTTGACTTTCCACAAACGAAAGCAAAATTGAAACTTCAGCAAGAGTTATTTTCCCTAATGGAGCTTCTGCAATTTCTAAGTGCTGTAATTACTTGCTCTCTAAAAATGTCATTTTAGTTACGTGATTTTCCAAAGATTTGATACCAAACATCTCCACTCTCCTTTCTGGAGCGTGTACGTTTGTACTGGTTCGTGTTCTGCCTTCTTTCCACGGGGGAGCAGGCTTGAGATAGCCATTCCCTGCTTTATTCTGTATACAAAGACAACATATTATAAAAAGCAAGCAAACATACACAAAAACAAACAAAAAATCCCAAGTTTAAAATACTGCAGACAGACCAAGGACTCACCTTTCTCATTAATTTGCTGCAAAGTGGAAGAAGTTGACATAACAGAGTCATCACATTCCTTGTTTTCTGAATGCATGCATCAACCTACGCAAGACAGTTACAGTTGAGTAAGACCACTGATCACTTCCATTAGGCAACATGAGATGAAAAATCTATTTTGAGCTTGAAATGAATATGAAGGATAAACACAAATCCAATCTTTTCTAGTCTAAAGGTTTTGTCAGCCTGCTCAACTTCCTGTAGTGTTCATAATGCAGCAGCATCCCTTCTGTTAAACCAAGGCAGCAGCTGTGAAGGAGAAGAGAACGATGCACATCCCAGGAGAGGGAGCTAAAAATAATATTAGAAGAGTAATATACATGTCTCGGAAATAAAGCTCTCACTATTTAAGTGTGCTTATCACAGTTCTTCATCTGTTTTTTTTCGTTTGTTTTGTTTTTTAAATTCTTTTCAGCATGATTTTAGAAAGCAGTGCATCACAGAAGCCTTACTTTGATATGAGTTACATTAAAACTACTCAATTACTGGAACTTAAGCCAAAAGCACAGCACAGATCATTAGGTTTAGGCTGTCCAGAAACATTAATTTGATAGCCTTTAGCACTATGTACCTATAGAGTCTGGAGCTCCCGTTTAGTCTAGCTAGAGCATGTGGAAGAAACCAAGCAACAGCCCTCAGGTGCTCAGTTTGGGTTTGATTCCTTTGGATGGCGTAGCTGGTATCAGAACTGAGCTGTTTCTCCTACAAAATGGAAACATCTCTTACAGAGCCAGTGGGAAACCAACACCCAGGTGTACAGGACTGCTCTTAAGAAGTTCTGCTTCTGTTTGCTGCTGTCATTTGTAGACCATTGTAATCATGGTAACAGTGCAGAAACTTTTATGACAACTATGTAAAAGTTGATGTATAACAACTATTAGGATGGATTCTGCCTTTGGAGAAGCAGCATGCATTTTAATAACAGAGAGTATTCAGGGATTGGAATTTATGTTTATCTAAAGCATCAATTACAAGATCATAACTAATTATGAGAACGGTAGTACAAATTACCTTCATTAGTACACTTTGAGCACTGAAGTCTTTTCTTAGGAGTTACACTTGACTACAGCTCATATTTCTTCAAATAAAGTTCTGTGTGTTACAGTAAAATAAATTCATC